GCAACTTGTACTGACATATCTTAAAATAGAGATACACGCCTCAAGATACACATCAATAATGTTTTTTTTTTCTAAGACACGTTACTTAAATGCCCTAACTCCTGGCTTAATCTAAACCCTGTCTGTGAAACCAGCACAGTTTAAAATCAGTTAGTTAATAGTACTTTTGAAAAATATGTGTATACCAGTTTATTCCACATATGACTGGTCCATTCTTACGGTGGCTAGCATGTTTAAGATCACATGACCAGCTGAATAATAAACCTGAAACTGCAACTTTTTATCTCACAATTCTGAATCAGAAAGAATTATAAGAAATAAACGTACAATTGCAAGATATCTCAGAATCGTCAGATATAAACTGGCAATTGTAGATTTGTCATTTCAAGAAAAAAGATGTACTTTTTCATTCCATGATGGAAACAAGTTTCCATGATTATCAGATACTTTGTTGTAAACAAATGAATCATGAGTGATAAAAGCGAATAGGGATTTTCTAACAATAGCAGTAATCAAAAGTTTGACTTTTAAGTAATGCTACATCCACATAATATAGGTACCAGTTTGTAATACTGGCCAGCAAAACATTAAGTTAGAACTGATAAAAGTGACATTTGAGAGTGAAAATAGTTCAAAAAGAATTTGTATTTAAAAACATAAACAGGCAGCCAAATCTTTTATTATCTTGCAATTTGCAAACAAAGATAAGTGAAATAAGCAGCTTTGTATATGAACTTTCTCTGGTTTGTGATGTGCAGATTCCGCCTCTAAAGCAGCTGAGGCTGTGTGGAGGGACAAGGCCCGGAAAGAACTAGAGGACTGGCATGTACACCAGAATGAACAGATGGAGAAAAATAAAGCCAACAACAAGTATTTTCACCCTAACATCTTTAATATCCATGCTTTATTGAACTATATGTTTTTGTTAGTGAAGATTAAGATGCAGACAGTTGTGAACTACCAGTACAAAAACAATTAATATGAATAATGTCTTATAAAATGATTGCCAGAAGAACTGAGTTTTATTGTTACTATTGTCAGTATTATTACTTTACTTGATTTAAAGGGACATTGTGTAGGAATTGCTACCATCTAGGATAAGTCATATAATTGGCAGAGGTATTTGTACACCATTTGAGGACATATTCATGAATAAAAAAATATTGGTTTAAATAATAAATTCCATAAAAAGTTACACATAGTCCCTTTAAAGACATTGTTTTCTTTTTTTTTTAATATATGAATAATACAGTATGTTTTAGAGGCGCTCTCATTTTACTAATACTCAAAAGTAAACGTAGTTACTGTAATGAATTAATTATGAGTCTTACTGCTGGCTTTTAATGTCAGCAACCTCTCACACCTCTTAACTCTTGCATGGTATCTGATTCCCTTTGTTTTACTGTAGATTTTCATGTGTACAGAGAAGACTGTTCATAAAGTTGTCTGCATGCCATGCTTTTTATTATTGATAGAAATGACAGTTTAGCTCCAACCCTAATCAAACACTCCTGAACAAGCTAATCAGTGTCGCTGTGTCTGAAATCGACCCCTACACCCTCATTCACCATGCCATACATTACTCCACTAATATAGTTCACTTGAGAGGGAGTGAATTCAACTATAATGCTGTCAACTATGGTATCGGACACCACTACAAATGGCTGTCCTATCAAATAACGCTCTATTTAAGGGGGGGTTTGGAGACAGACTAAGTTGTTTTGTTTTATTTTCTTTAAGCAGGGGTGGAGCTAAACTCAGCAGGACAGCATTTTTTATTTTCCGTACCATCCCTTTCATTCACGTTCAATATTGTGTGTTTGTAATCCAATAGCAGAAAGAGAAACAAAGGTGCGTCAAGTAAAATAATTTCAATTTCGGGTCCAATGATGGCTAAAATGTAGACTTGTAACTTAGAAGCAAAAATCTTATTTGAAATAATGCAGGGTATGATCAAACTTTTCCTGTAATAAACAGCACATCGCGGCACCACGTATGCTATTGATTAATCTCAACTTTTATCTTCAGTCTTCTTAGTATCATGAAAAAGGATTTGATGCACTTTAACACTTATTTTGATGTGCGGCTTGTGTGAGACTGATGTTCTTCTTATGTATCCCTCTCTCCCTTTCATTTTCCGGCTCCTATTTTTCTCTTCCTTTATCTTGTTTTCATTTCCTCTTTTGCTGTCCTGCCTGTTTGTGCACTAGGATCGCTGATAAGGCTTTCTACAAACAGCCCAACTCTGATGCCATAGGTTTTGTGTATGTTTAATGCAAATCAGTGAAATAACATAAATGCACAGTTCCTTGCTTGCATCACATAAACAAAGATATTACACTACCGTTCAAATGTTCGGGGTCATTGAGGATGTTTTTGAAAGAAATCTCTTCTGCTTAGTAATGTTGCATTTGTTTAATCAAAAATACAGTAAAAACTGAAATTGTAAATTATTATTATTACACATTTAACTGTTAAACTATTTTTTATATTGTTATAACTACACAAATATTTTTGTAGACTGTGATGCATTTCTTTCTGGATTTTTTTCGATAAATAGTATGTTTGTTTGTTTGTTTTTTTAAAAAGCAAATAGAAATCTATAATTTCTATAGTAACTTTTTTCTAAATCTATAATTTCTTTCAAAACATATCTTACCTACCCAAAACTTTTGAATGATAGTTTAATCACACATTCATGCTTTATTTCAGAGATCTGATTAATTTCTTAATATTTATTAAATATATATATATATATAATATTAATATATTTATTAATATATATTAAATTGACCGATATTTGACAGATATTAAATTTTTTCTAGTTAATAGGTTTAAAAGTTTCCCCTTTTAGTCTCAATTAAGAAGCAGAAGTTTAGGCAAAATAGCTTTATATACTACTCATAACAAAATGTATTTATTTATTTTATTTAACCAGGTAGGCACATACAGTGCTCATTCTCATTAAAAACGGCGACCTGGCCAGGATAACGCTTCAAAGTGCAGACACATGAATTAAAGGACAGGACCGTTTAATACTGGTTACAAACAGTTAGTCAGTCAAAGTGCATCGTACAAAATAAGTCAAAATACAGTAACTAGACCGTATTCCTAATGGAACAATAATAATGATATTATATAATATTAAAATAAATTAAAGTATATCTTCTGATTGGCTGTGATTGTCACATTTTGTAACTTTCACATTCAGTGTGTTCAGACCATAGACTTTAAAAAAAAAATTGTCATGGTTCAGACATAGTTAGATCAGAAAATAATTACCATCGGACATAGAAAATAATGTTGGTCGATCTCTCGTTTTAATTTGGGCCCGGTTTCACAGACAGGGCTTAGACTAACCCAGGATTAGGCCATAGTTCAATTAGGGTGTTTAAGTGGCTTTTATAAAAGTGGCTTACTAGTGTGCATCTTTAGATAAAACAATGGCACATATTTGATAAGATATGCCAGTACAAGTAGCTTTCAGTTAAAACAGCTCAAATATATGTATTTTAGTCTGGGACTAGGCTTAAGCCTTGTCTGTGAAAGTCGAGGCATGACATGACCGCTGGTGCTCATGATTCTCTCCTGTCTGTTCTTTCAGAGCATCAGAGGAGGCCTTCCTCAAGGAGTGTGATGATGACAGTCCCGGAACAGAATGGGAGAAAGTGGCCCGTCTATGCGACTTCAACCCCAAGACCAGCCGCATGACTAAAGACGTGTCTCGGATGCGCTCCGTTCTTATTTCTCTAAAACAGACGCCTCTGGTTCGCTAACGTAACCATATCTCCAAGGCTTTCTTTTCTTGTTCCCTCTTGCACTTTATTTTAGTGAGGCTGAACACTTTAACAGATTTAAGTTTTAATGGGGTCATTGAATGTGTACACTTTACTGTATTTAAACTTCCTATTTGTGTACCCTGGTGTTTCACAATGGCAGAAGATTTCGGCTATTCCCTAAGTTTAAAAAAAAAAAAAACAGGTCAAAAGAATTCATGGTTTTTCCCTTTATCCCAGTGTCCATGAAAGGCAGCAGTTCTATCTAAAATGCCATGTTTTTTGTTGTTTTTTATCTTACAAGTTATTTTGTAATTGTTGTGACATTTGCAGTGCCTGCAAACCATTAGACAGCATTAACTCACTGGAACCAAAAGTGTCTTTGTTGCCTTGTAACAAAGGAAATGGAAGTATTAGTTTACATTCTATACTTGGATACAGTTTAGTTACCATCTCTCACCCTATGCTATGTAATATTTTTTTTTTGTCTTCATTAGTTGAATGCTGTGGTGGAAGCAGTATCTGGGTTTGCCATCGTCTGCTTTTTTGTATTTCTGTTCACTGCCAAGAGGGACGTTAGATATTTCTGAGCTTGCTAAGGTTATTGACCTATTATAATTTTCACATTACAACTTTTTTTAATATTCAAATAATTATTAGTAATCTGCAGTTTTTAATTTCCCATGCATGCTGCTCATAACAGCTTCTTAATTACTTAAATTAGCAGAAATCTTTTACAAATGAAGAAGAATCCTTCATTGCACTGTGCTCATGTAGCGGTTAATATTTTCCACTGTTACTACATACATATGGGACTAATAATACAGTTTTTAAACAATGCAATTTGTCAAGTGTACAGTTCCTGATTCTCAGTCTACAGCAATGAATCTTGTGCCTAAACCTTTTCTCACTGTGACATTTACTATCTGTAGGCCTTCATCAGTCAAGTGTCCAAAAGCCCTAGAAATAAAACATAGCACAGTGAAATACCGGTAATGAAGATAGTTGTTCTTTTACAAAAATGCTGGAAGTTAAATAACACTCCTTTTTATAGTCCAGATGTTGACTTTGTTGTCCTGCTTGTTACTTAATGGCAGGTGTATAAATGCTACACTTTGTTTGTACAAGTTTGAGGCCTTGTTTCCATTGAAAACTGAATTTTGGTTGAAAGTTTACTTGCATGTTACAACTAACTAACAAAAGTTAACAACCAAAGAAATGATCTGACTAATTGAAGCTATCTAGTAATGAAACTCCCTTTTATAGATCTCTTAGCCCTCACCCTGATTCCAAATAAATGTGTGCGCATCAATGCAAACCATGCAATAATTATTGTGTATTCAATAAATAAAATTAATTCAATGAAAAACTTCTGAATTCAGACGTTCATTGTAACTTTTATAAAGAAATAAGACATTTATTACAGGTGGAGACTTGATAATATCATGAATCACCATTATCTTTGAATACATTATTCTGCAGCTTGACTAGTCCGCATACATGCATAATAGAAAACTGAGGTAAGAAGCAATGTAATGTTTCAAGAAATGGTCATCAACATGGAGAAACAGGTCCTATGCCTGTCAACCAGATGCTTTAACCACAACAGTGGCTTCTGGGACGCTCTTTAAATAAAATACTGGGCATTAAATGCGTGTGGCAGTTCGATACACTTTCATAAATAGTGCCACCCGTCGATCTATAATATGAGATCTTACACTGGGCTATTTTGTTTTTGCTCAGTGGGAAAACTTCAGGTCTGAAGAGGTTAAAGAAAATAAAAAATGCTAACAATTGGCATTTAATGTTCAGTTCACTCCATATTCATATAACATTTCACCCATCGACCATATAAGGCGTTTGTCAGTGTGGTGAAACAGGGTCTCTGTGTTCTCTTCACTGCTTGGGTTTCAGTGCCGTCACAGCCACACCCACTACAATAGCAACGACCGTGAAGCCTTGGGCGAAGATACGGGCTCTCATTAGCAGCTGGGACTGTCGGGTCTTGCCCCGTCTGAAGGCGCCGAGGCCATAGATCAATGCTCCGGCTGTTCCCAAACAGCCTGAGGAGGAAGACCACAGAAAAATAAATTGCAGCTATTCCATTTGATTGTATATAATACACATTAAGTGCCAAAATGTTTTTTTTTTTAATTCTATCTTCCATTTCTGTTTTCTTTAGCTTGTATTTTGAGTAAACCCCAGCTGGATAGCTGCATGGGTCACATTCAAACCCCACAAATGGAGAGAAGGGTGTGTTTAGTGGAAAAAACCATCAAGCCCTGGGATTCTCGTTGATGTTCACAACTTCACTCAGCCAGAGATCAACGGATGCAAAGAAAATACTGATTTCCTATCACTAACTCCCAGCCAAAAGTACTATATTCAGTACAATTTGGTGTCCGAATGAGAATTATCACAGCTTCCACCAAAACATTAAGCAGCAAACTGTTTTCAATCCTGATATTGATAATATGAAATATTTCTTAAGCCACAAATAAGCATATTATTGGGTCATTGCGTGTCAACGCAATTTTTATTTATTTTATTTTTTTTATTATTTTTTGCAAAGACGAACATAAATAGTGATGAAAGCCAAATATTAAATGTCCCACAGATAATGTAATCCACTATTTTGTAGAGGGGTCAAAATGACAATATTCACCTGAGATTTGGAGCCAAATTACAGGAGTGTAAAAATGACTTTAGAATGATTGGTTGGTCTATTAGTAAAATATGTTGACTTTAGCAATCTTTGTTTCATTATATGCCAATGGTGACGGTGTTCTGTCGATCTGTCCTACCTTGTCAGATTTTCCTACCGTAGCGCAAAATTAGCCATATCTATCGGTTCATCCTACCTCGTCGTAAAATCCTACTGAGCGTTTCTGCTTCGCGTCTGTGACTAAGTTACATAAAATATTTCTGTGTAACTTTGCCGAATTTTCTTATTAGGCCATGTTACGGTGATTTTACAGTGCAAAGTAACGTTAACGTTACCTCTTCAGATTGTCCTATGAAATAAACGATAGGATGATTTTACGTTGCAAAATACCTCATCAGATTGTGCTACCAGTATGAAATAAACGAGTAGTATGATTTTACAGTGCAAAATGCCTCATCAGATTGTCCTACCAGTATGAAATAAACGAGTAGAATGATTTTACGTTAATGTTTTCATGAAAAAAATGCTAATATGAATTTGCTTTGTATGAATGTGAGAGTAAACAGTTCTCATTACTGCTATATATCTTTGTATAGTGAAAAACTTACCTCAGATGAAGAAGATCTCGCGCAAGTAGTAAAATATTATGGGCGTGTTGTTCAGCGTGACAAAAAATGACGTATTATTGATGTGCGCATGCGCAGTAAGCCTTGGTAGGACAATTGACGGGTAGGATGGAATGTCAGAACACCGGTTCAAAAAGGGCAAAAAGCACTTCCTGTGTTTTTCTGTGCCACAAGTTTGCATGACTGTAACTCAAGAAGCATTAAACATATAATATCCTTTTAGATTCTGGTTCTTGTTCCTTTCTTTTGGTATCTTCATTTTAAAGCCACTCGATGGTTCAATCCCAGAGATATGGACACATTAATGCGTCTCCATGAATATATTGGTGAATAAATTGTACACGTACATTGCTCAAACCAAACGTGGGTCACTTTGAATACAGCTGACCTTTTTATTTAAAAGAGGAATATATATTGAAATAAATGTTAAAACTAGAAATATATCTGTGTGTTTTTTTTTCAGCTCAACTGCAAAGAACATACCTGTCTGAGTGTCATACATCTGCTTTTTCTAAAGTTGTCATGCTTGTAACTCCAAAAGTATTCAATATATATGGATATTAATATCCTTCTAGATTCTCATTCTTAATTAATTTAGATTCCAAAAGAAAAGTTTTTAAGGGTCCAATAGAGTTCAGTCCCATAGATATGGGGATCTCAAAGCAGCTCCATGCTCAAATTGTTGAATTTTAACTATTTTCAATGGTCAAGAACCAAATGTAGGTACGTTTTTAAACAGTTAATAATTATTGTGTATAATGGCTCATATTCAGCCTTGACCAAGCTTCAACACCAATAATGCCCCTGTTTCTGTTTATTGTATTTTATCCTGGTTATCCTTCTATCCTGGCTTTGACACAGCAAAGAATTTGCACAACAGCACTTCCATTACACATAAAAATTAACTCTGTTTAAATGTCTGGTGTTACTTTGACAAGGGGCGATGAAAGACAAACTATGAGTGCAAAAGTGAAATATCAGAGGTATGGTAGAAACCCTATAACTTAGTGTGATTCAGAAGATGCCATATGATGCACATTGAATACATGGCATAAGACGTTTCAATGTTATGGCACTGCATTAAGCTCATTTAAAACTCTTGGCATTTTATGTTTAACGGTGTTTAAATGTTGGTAAACAAGATCATATGAAGTTCTATGGTGGTTGTATTATAATGTGTGTTGTGCAGCTTGTGTAAGTCACTGCTTTATGTAACTCACCAATAGGAACGAATGGATTTTCTTTCGTTTTCCTGATGAATTTGTCTTTAAAGTTCTCTTCCCTCGCCCTGGGCAGCGGGGTAAATCCCTCGATGACCGGAGGCTGAGACAAATCAAACACGACCGGTGGAGAAGCTGTTTTGTTCGGTTGATCTTGGCCAACAACCGGGGTCGTTGCAGTTGCCATGATCGGTTGACAGGAAGTTGAATAAACACGGCGTTTCCGCCAGCTGTGTATCACATGACACATGAAGAAATTTACAATAAAATATGATTTAATTATATTGATTTATTCATTAATTAAAACAACTAATACAAAAAAAAAACCTCTTACATATTCAAATGTGTTTGTTAAATTGCCCGTGTTGAAGATTGGTGATAAGAAATGCATTTGCACAGCAAAAGTAAAAAACAAACAAACAAACAAATAAATAAATAAATAAATAAATAAATAAATAAACGTTATTAAAGATTTTTATCCTGGTGCTGAAATTTTATTTTATGATTCCATTTTGAGGTATAATTTATATTTTTTTAAATAGATTAATTATTATTACTGTTCTACACATAGATTGTTTATTGTATATAACCTATGAACATTGTTCTTAGTGAAAACATTCAAAACAATGAAGATAAAACAAAGCATGCGCCACACGACTCCTGCGCAGCAGGTGGCGCAAAAAAGAAAGAGTTGTTTGTGCAACGTTTAACGTATTCGTCATGTCAGCAGCACGCTTTATACGTCATCACGTTTTATTAGGGCTCGGCGAGGTAAGATGGCGGCGCCAGAAGAACAGGAATTATCTCAGGCTCAAACTGAAAAACTCCTCCAGTTTCAGGTATCAATTAAATTGCATTGGTAACACATATTGATTAAATATTTTATACGCCCAATTATCAGAAAAAAATTTGTTCGTGGTATCCAGCTTAGCCGCTTTAGGTATAAATGACCAGTCAGCGAGCTAACTCCCATTAAGATCGTTAGTTTTTACTCAACCAAGACCAGCTTCACTGCACCTAGTAATATAGAATTAATCTGAATAATAACCTTTTGATTTGTGTCCACATAGACTTTCTTGAGTTTACATCTGTCTTGTTTTAGTTGAAATGGCAGCTGTCACTTAAGCAGCGAGTCATTTATTGTGTCTCAAAACCTAGAGAGCTGCCTAACTTACCTAGACAGTAGATTTGATCAAAGTAAAGTCAAGAGCGCTTATGATGGCTAAACTATTGTCTAATTTGGCTGCAGTGTTTTTATTTTTATTTACATAGAAACAGATGGAGAACCGCTAGTCATACGGATGCGTAATTAAAGTTTAATATTAAAAATGCTAACTTATCTAGATAGACAGCTCGCTAGGTTTCTAGACGCTGTCCTAATCTGCTCCCAGTCTGGCATCACTTAAACTTTTAACCTACTGAATTTTAGGATGAGTTTATTTGTCTTGTTTTAAACTGGTTGCAAGTTACCATCATCAATAAAGAAGTTTCCGTTACTTCTTCCACATCTACACCTGAGTTAGAGAAGCGTTAATACAAAAGAATTACGCCCTTGAATAGTGAGTGAATGATCTCGAAAACACTCGCGTAATCTATCATTTGTCAAACACATCGCCACCCAACTGTTTCATTCAGTAGCAGAACTTTTGGCAATAAACATGCCAGGCAACTGGATATTTATTTTCTAATTTATTGTGACAATAGATTCCAGCTCTCTTTTAAACCTAAAGACTTTTGTTGACAAATGACACACATTATTCAGGACCTGACAGGCTTGGAGTCAATGGACCAATGTCGGCGCACATTAGAACAGCACAATTGGAACATTGAGGTGAGAGATGGTAAACCAGATGAATTTATCCAGTCATATTAGTTTTATCGTTCTGTATTAGGAACCATATAATCTCCCTTTGTTGCAGGCTGCAGTACAAGACAGACTAAATGAGCAAGAAGGAGTTCCGAGTGTGTTCAACCCGCCGCCCGCCAGACCGTTGCAGGTCAACACAACAGACCACAGAGTGTATAGCTATATTGTCTCAAGGCCACAGCCTAGAGTAAGAGGGTCTTTGGTTTTTATGTTTTGTGTATTTCCTAATTTCGTTCGTACCGCTGTTTTCAAAAATGACACATGCTAAATACAAGTTTTTATGCAGCTGTGGTAAATATAAAAATGTCAAGTGGTAGTATGCTGGTTTCGGCCTGGTGTGACATACAGTTCAGGGTAATGCCGTTCACCATGTGATTATTTTGGCAAAACAATATATCGCAACGTGTTCTCTATAAATATTAAACAAAGTGCTTATATAAACGTTTACTTTTTTTACAGGGCTTATTAGGTTGGAGTTACTACTTGATAATGCTTCCCTTCAGGTTTACGTATTATACACTTCTGGATGTATTCAGGTATTAAAGCAGTTGAACTTAACAAAGACCTGTATTATATTACACTAATGCTACTGGTCTTTCCACTGATGTTTCTTCCTTCCCTAAATATTTCAGGTTTGCCCTGAGATTCATTCGGCCAGATCCAAGGGGTCGTGTCACAGATCCTGTTGGAGATGTCATGTCCTTTATTCATAGTTTTGAGGAGAAATATGGTAGATCGCATCCTGTTTTCTACCAGGGAACATATAGTCAGGTATGTTGATGTATTTATCTTAACATTCTTACAAGATTAAGACCATTAAAATTTTTAATTATTAACCCATTAATCAGGCAGACTGAAATGACTTGCATGAAGTAAATCAAAAAGTGTATAAAATTAACTCTTCTAGGCTCTGAATGATGCCAAGCGAGAACTTCGCTACTTGTTAGTTTATCTTCATGGAGATGATCACCAGGACACAGATGAGTTCTGCCGGTAGGTTTAAAGTTGTGATGTTCATTCATGTTACATCTGGTGAGCTTCTGATTTCATAACTAGAGCTCCTGTCTGTCTGTCTCTCTCAGAGCCACATTATGTTCAGAAGAGGTACTGACCTTCGTTAACACAAGGATGCTGTTTTGGGCATGTTCCACCAGCAAGCCGGAGGGTTACAGAGGTAACCAACGTCACTTCTACGTCTCTGATTAATCTCTGAATATTAATCAGAATATTGTTACGGTGTCATCATAAGGAAGGAACCTTTTCAGTTCCCAGATTTTGGTGTGTTCGCACTGCAGAAACTAGGAATGATTTTAGTTTTAGGAACTCCTAATTTAGCCCCTACTTCAGATTAGGGTCTAAACCAGCACTGTAGGAACTATCTGTGACGTTAGTGTAAGCTGATTGGCCGAACGCTTGCTACCCGCCATTTTTAAAGACACATTTACTCCAGAAACTAACTCTACGAACATGGTCCTCTTAACCTTTACGCTATAAGGACTTTGAAGGGACCAATAGAAACACGATTATGTATTTCTGCACAGCTGGCAACACTGGACACTGCAAATGCTAATACCTTTTCACATACGGTCTACTTTCTATGTATAACCAGTTCTATCTAATAACTTATTATACAGAGACGAATGAACACGGAAAATGCGAGCACTGTTCGCTCGGGCTCTGGCGTTCTCAGCGCCGTTAAAATAAGTCACAACAAGAAACACGGCTTACGTCACTTCAGAGGTCCTACTAGCAACCAGGAAAATGTCCCTAAGGGAACCACTAGTTCCTTAAACTACCCCTATTACCTCACAAGATGTGGTTTAAGATTGTTTCTTTTATGTTGTGTGTTCAGTCTCTCAGGCCCTGCGTGAGAACACCTATCCCTTCCTGGCTATGATCATGCTGAAGGACCGCAAAATGACAGTTGTTGGAAGACTGGAGGGGCTGATCCAGCCTGAGGATCTTATCAACCAGCTGAACTTCATCATGGAGGCAAACCAGACATATCTCATGTCAGAGCAACTGGAGAGGTAAGGTCACAAAGAATGTAAAGTCTTGCACCTACGCATATTTATTTGTAACCGATAATATTACCACACAAACATCATTTTCTGTTTTGTGACTACAGGGAAGAGAGGAATCAGACGCAGGTACTGAGGCAGCAGCAGGATGAAGCTTACCTGGAGTCCCTCCGTGCAGACCAGGAAAAAGACAGAAAGAAAAGAGAAGAACAAGAGCAGAAACGCCAAGAGGAGGAGAAGGCACGCCAGAGCATACTCGCAGAGGAGAGGAGACTGAGAGTAAGGGATTTGTTATTATTTAAAGTGCAATAAATTATTTTAGAAATACATTTGTTGTCAATTGTTTAAATTAAGAAATTTAGTCTTTTTTTAGAGTGCTTTTACACTAGCACTTCAAAACCATACAATTTCTGAATAAAAAAAGGTGTTCTGGGGTACGGTTCATGTGAACTACAGAACAGTCGCAATCGTACTAAATCACGGAAGTAAATCCTTATCGCTATTGATGTCTGATTCAATAAAACGGTGTTCTTACTTTCCTGACGCACTCCAAGCAAAAAAATATATACATCACATTTCTGCTGGACTCCTGTGTACTTTTCCCAGTACATTAGAAGCAGAAAGACGCAAGTGCTGAAAACAAAACCTAAATCTAAAGTGAGGTGAGCACTGCTATGCATTTTGCTGCCTTCTGCGTTGTTGTTACCATGCGACGGGTAAACAGACCCAAATCAATGACGTCAAAAGCAGCCTTAAATTGATCACGGTAAAATAGCTAATCTGTCCATGGTATGGCTTGGTGCTGCTGACTCAAATTTCACAATTTGATTTGTATTTCAATTAAATTCATTGGGGCTTATCAGATTCACTGTTCTAATATTAAAAGTAACTGATTTGTAGGCTACTTGCATTTCACACAAGGAAGCTTTTAAAATAACGTTATAATAATGGTATTAATAATGGTTGACAAAAAATTATGAAGGATTTATTCAAAACTGCATTAAATATTGAAGAACACATTAAGTAAAAATACAATAAACATGCAATAGTTCATATTTAGTGAAATGCTCCTCTCCTGATTTTTCAAGCCGACAAACTCGTTTTTGGGCATTGAATGGCTTTTCTGAGGTAAATGTAACGTTACGTGACATTCTCTGTCTTTCTGCGGTTGAAACACTGATTGACGTGAGATGATGATATGGATTCGATAAGTTGTACTGTATTCATACTTGTGTATTTATGCTGTAACTAGTAGTAAAGAGGAAGATCAAGATTATCACTTCACACGTGCTCCGCAAGATCGATATTGGATTTTCATTTGAAAATCAATGAAAAAACATGGATCGTTGTAATTCCAAAAACTTAACCTAAAGAGGAAAAACCTGCAGTCTTTTTCTCTGCACATCATGAATAACTGTTCACGATGACTGTTTAGTCAGTTGACAAATTTCACTAAATGACTTCCTGATGATTGTCTAATGACAGACACTGGAAGAAGAGAAGGAGCGCAAGTCTGAGTGTCTTCCCCCTGAGCCGCCCTCGGACGACCCTGACAGTGTCAAAATAGTGTTCAAATTGCCCAACGACACTCGCGTGGAACGGAGATTCCTCTTCAGCCAGTCTTTGACGGTAAACGCCCTTTGCATCGCTTATACAGTGTTGAGAACCATAACAGTTTGATGTCAGCTTCTACAACTTCTGTGGTTGAAGAAAAGACACTTTTTGAAGTATTATGAGATACCACCTAATATTTAAAAATGAATTTTGGACTAAAACCAGTGGCTAAAACGTACTTTTTCCCCTTTTTAGGTAATACACGACTTCCTGTTTTCATTGAAAGAGACCCCTGAGAAATTCCAAATAGTAACGAATTTCCCACGCCGGGTCCTGCCTTGCCTGCCGACGGAAGAGCAGCCCAATCCCCCCACTCTGAAGGAAGCCGGTCTGAGCCGGTCAGAAGTCCTCTTTGTGCAGGACCTCACAGACGATTGACATTTAGCTTTGCTAACCCTCTGCTCACGAGTCGAGTCCCGCCTCCCCTCCAGTTTGTTCGATGGCCTGGACAAGGGATCACTGAAAGAAACCTTTTACTGAATTTAAAAAAAAAAAAAAGAATAATAATATCCCATCCTTCCCTGCAGTGAAGTTTTGTTCTGTAAAATGAGTGCAAGGTGAACAGCCCTGTAAATATATGACTTAGATATTTAAGGACAAGCCTGGAAGCCACAACAGAGTTATCTTTTTCTTTTCTTTTTGTTTTTTTATGCAAATCAAAGTCGACCATATAATTGTATCTCATCTAATGACCAAAAGAGAGGTTGTCAGCAAAGGATCCGATGGGCTGCTTGTGGTTCAGATAAGAAAACAAAAGGCCACAACCTTTCCATGTGGCTTTGTATATATAGAGTATAGTGCAAGTCTGCCCATAGTGTGCCTGTGGTAATTCATAGATGCCTATGTTACCTGTCGTCCATCTGATGGGTCTGGTCATGTAAAGATGTCATTTTCCAATTCTAAATTAAACATTTTAAAATGTTGTTGTGGTTTTACTAACAATGTTCTGGTTCAACTTTAACGTTGCAGCCTGCTGCACAAACCTGAAGCCATGGCGATTTTAATATTTTTGTAGGTATGTGGAAATAAAATATGGTGCTGAATAATGGCTTAAACCATTCATTGTACAATTTTCTAAAGTAATTGGAGAGGTAGTAACTCAGATTACTTTGTTTTATAGCATTAAGTCTGTTTCAATGTGAGTCTGAACTATTAGGGTGAATCTCACAAAGTTGGTCAAAAGATGGGTTACATTTAACCCCCAAATCAAAAGAGAGTCTATTGACGCCATTACGGTTTTCTTTTTGCATTGTGACTTTTTCTTTGTAGACAATTTCTCCATTAATCATAGATGCATGTACCATATAAATCATCCAATCAAAAAGGTAGTATTTCTTGTGCTGCCTTTATTCTGATTTGAATCAACAAATTGTGTACAGACTGAAGATTTATATTACTGTATCACAGTAATGATGTGCTCAATATTGAGAATGTAAATTGCCCATGTCTCAATGCAAAAAAACAAAACAAAACACAGAATGAACGGATATTTTAGCCAATACAATAATCATTTTTTTTCTTTCTCATGTTATGACCAATAAGTGGTTATTATAAATCTATACTTTACAATTTTTTATGCTAGAAGTGAATTTATGCAACATTATAATGTATAAATGTTGATTTTTAAATCTGCTATAAATAAATGCATTCTGTTTAAATAAAACAAAATAGTGATTATAATAATAAAGGAGAGATCTATGGGATACTGGTTAGATAATAGACTGCATAGATCTAGAACCACTAGATTTAAGTCATTACTTGAGTAATAATCAAGAAAGTTTGTGAGTGTGTCTGGGTAACTTTAATAAAGGTTATTTTTTCCAAGAATGAACTATCATATTTATTCACAAATTCAAAGGGATGCTCTCTTATATTAAAGGGTTAAATCCCCTAGACGATGCTAGATTCAAGGAAAAATGGGTGGGGAAAAAAAATCACATTACCTAAAACAAATTATTCAGTAGGTATTAAAGGAGTAGTTAAATAAAAAAAAAACGCTGATAATTTACTCCCTCCCATGTAATCCAAGATATCCATGTCATTCTTTCTTCAGTCGAAAAGAAATTAAGGTTTTTGATGAAAACGTTCAAGGATTTTTCTCCATATAATGGACTTCAATGGGAATCAGATGGTTCAAGGTCCAAAAGACAGTTTCAGTGCAAACTGTTCAAAGGGCTTTAAACGATTCCAGACGATGAATAAGGGTCTTATCAAGCGAAACGATCGCTCATTTAAAAAAAAAAAAATTCAAAGTTAAGTTTTATAAGCTCAAATGCTCGCCTTGCTCTGTGATGTGCGTTTGTGACTCTCCTATTTGAACTCGTTCATCAAAATGAACGAATCTTTTCCCGAGTTAACTCATTAATTTCATTCATTGAATGAACCAAATGACACGAAAAAAGATTAGTTCATTTTGATGAACGAGTTCGAACAGGAGAGTCACGAACGTGCATCACAGAACAGAGCAAGGCGACCATTTGAACTTATAAAGTTGAACTTTGTTTTTGTTTTTTTAAATGAGTGATTGTTTCGCTTGATAAGACCCTTATTCATCGTCTGGAATCGTTTAAAGCCCTTTGAACAGTTTGCACTGAAACTGTCTTTTGGACCTTGAACCTTTTAAAAAAATCCTGGAATGTTTTCATCAAAAACCTTAAAAATTTTTTCGATTGAAGAAAAAATGACATGGATATCTTGGATGACATGGGGTGAGTAAATTATCAGCAAAAGTTTTTTGTTTTTTTAAAGTGAACACCCATCACCGATATAACACCAATATATTGTGCTTCCCTAGGTCTAAATAATTATTGCGCCAAATAATGTTCCTTTTGATTACATGGGTAAATATGACCCGGGCATTCTTTATGAGATTCACCTTTCAACTGTTTTGAGAGACAGAAACCCTCAGACAAATAACTTAACCGCAACACATATGTATTGTGCAAAACGTTTAAAGCATTGATTACTTTAGTCAGTGTAGTATGAGTATACATCACACATTTATTAGTGAACAACCCTCTCCAATCAGCCACAATTAAAAAAAATATGATTGCACTACTCGGTAAAGCAGAACTAGCAACTTTCATTTAAAAAAAGTACAAATCTTAAAAATTTCAATCAGTATACAGATGTATTTATAATACACTATAACTAGTTATGTTAATTGCTACAAACAATGATTCCAATGGAATGAAAAAAAAAATTATAGCATTAAGAACCATTTCCTATATATAATATATATATAATTATATATATATATTAGCTTTTTTATTTCATTTTTTTATTATTGTTTTTTTTCTTCCAAATACAAACATGGCAAAAATGAGGTAACTGTAAATGTGCAAGTACCAAAGCAAAATATCTTCCTAACACAGAACACATGCCCCTGGCCCTGTTGTTGGCTGGGTAAGTCTGGAGTTCAGGCAATGACTGACCCCTAAAGGCCAGGAGGAGAATAGAACAGTAAACAATCCACTATCCCACCACAGCAAGAAATCATTGGTAAACAATCAGTGGCGTCTATGGAGCAATCAACAAATCACAAATCCTAAAGTATTTAGCTGCTTATTGGAACACAATTTTCCACCACACAAGCTGTGAGATTATTTATTAGTTGAATCACAGAAAGACTACAAGATTCTATTTATCATCATAACTCATAGGTTGTTGTTGTTGTTTTTTTCCTTTTTTTTTCTTTTTAGTAATTCAGTACAGGTAACACTGAGGTTCTTAAGGAATCTTGGTTATTGTGAAAAATTCCTTTATAAATCTAAATAAGGATATAATAGAAATAGCCCACAGCCGGTTACCCCAAGCAAAAGTGCTTGCGTGTATATCAACAACTTAACAGTTACAGATGCTCAAGGTAGAGAGAACCGTACAACAGGTACATATATTTCGGACCGTTTTGGTGAATGAGTGATAGCGCCGTGTCGTTTTAACCCACACAAAACCTCCTACTACTTCCATTTAAGGCAGATGTATTGAATCGGATCACTCGGGCGGTGAAATAATATATTATCCTTTAAAAAGGTCACTGTCTACCAGCACATACAAGTAAAGCTAAATAGTTTTTCTTTTCTTTTTTTTTTTTCTTAATTGAAACCCTTGTTGATAACGTTATTAACTGATGCTGACCTCCGTGAGGGTACTAATAGCACTGCATGCTGTATGAATAGAGACCCATAACAAACTATTGCATTCTCTTATGTGAATGTAGCATTACACCTAAATATAGAATATCTAGCACCTTTTTACTATATGGCTTTCCATTATCTAGATTCCAGGCAAGTGTGTCAGTAACTAACTGAGGCAACAATAGAAGCACAAATGTGGTGAGGAGCCAATCACATTTCCCATCATCTCAAAAAGTCTTCCCGCTGGCATCGAGCTTTGTTATTTTAAACATCCTGCATTATCGTTATTATTATTTTTATCTTATTCTTCTTTTGCAAGTACAAGCACAATAAAATCTTGTAGTCATTCGGTTCTATTACAAATGTGTGCAGTACAGTGCATGGCAGTTATCAGCTGAGCAGAAAGTCCCCTACACCCAGAACCCAAAGCCAACTAGATCTACCTAAAAACCAGTTGGGACCTGGTAAGACATGCATGCATATTGTGCACAATTAAATACTTGCCCACCCCTGATATCTTTCACTGAAAATACAGATTTCATTTTTTATTTGTCTTTTGTTTTCTTCTTTTTTTTTTAATCCTTAAATCATGCAAACACTGTAAGAATAGTCTTGGAAGTGGTCTAGGTAGAACAGTGTGCACCGTGGCACCTTTTTCAACGGGATTACAACCTTTATGTGTGGTTCAAGTACAAGAACACGGAAAAAACGCAACGGCTGGAAAACAGGTTCGAGTAACATACGCTAATGATCGGCTGCAGTGACGAAAAGCCTGTTCTCACTCGATACAACATGTCACTTCATCTTTTTTTTTTTGTTCTTTGCATGCCAGTCTTATAATGGAATAATATTCACCACTAGTAAAAAAAGGAATATTAGTTCAGTTGATTACATTTAAAATATGCACGGCCTGAGGAAAACAACCCAGAATACCCAAATATATCTCCATGGCATCAATCCAATTTGAAATGGACTGTTTTCCTATATTTTTCAATTACAGAGAGGCCCTGAGTGATTTTTTTTTGTTGTTTTTTTTGTTATACTCAAAATATATGCCAGTGAACAGATATGTATACATAGATTAATTATCAAAAGTGTGGATTAAATTCATGACAATGGCTTTTTTTTTCTCTAAAAACCTGGCACGCAAACGCAAGATACTCACATTCTCATGAGAGAGTCCCTTTACCCGAGAAAGCCAGTGTGTCTATTGAGTTACAATGACTATTCAGTGGACAAACGACTCAGGAATACATATATATATTTAAAATATAAATATATATATATATTTAAAAGTCCTAAAAATAAAGTACTTAGGGAAAAAAAAAAAAAAAGAATACCCAAATAGTTCATAGTTTTCACCCGAACAACATTCAGGTTTGTTTTTGGAATCGAGTGAACCACAAGTTGAGCGTTTTACAGTGCATCTTTTTTTTTTTCTTTAAACGACCCTAACGCTCCGTGTCTCTACCGTTTCGAATCCTGCCCGGGATCTCCGTGGAACGACAACAGTCAACTGGCACACAGGAGAGGGGGGCGTAGCTAGAAATTCAAAGGGTTTCAACATTCTTTTGTCTTAAAAACAAGACGATAATTTGCAACCTTTCACACCAAGGCTATGCATACAATGTTTTGTTTTTTTTCTTTCACATCACTTGACACTGTGAACATGGCCTGAGACCTGACAACGGGAGGCAAACTAAAACGCGCTTTAGTATTCCGACCGAATCCTTCAAAAACGCTCTCTAGAGAAGAAATAAATAACACCACTTTAAAAAAAATACAACGTATACTATTAAAAGAGGAACTGAAGATTAGTAACAGGTTTGTGCTTGTCAAGGTCTTGAGAAGGCAGAGCTAAAATCTTGTAGAGTATATTGATTATTTGGCTCACGAATGAGGAAAAACAAAAGGCCTAGTCCTCCAAAATCAGGTCGAAACGTTGCGTTCACCTCTCGCACTCATTGCACGTATTGCTTTCCTCAAAGTCTTCCACCCTTCCCAAAAAGTCATTCTGGAAAGGCAAATGCGACCTCCCCATGGACTTCATCCGACGTTCCTCTTGTGGTTGAAATGCGGTGGATCTCGTCGAGTCAGATATTGCTAGTCTAAAAGAACAGTCCGCGCGTGGCCCGTGAGATGTTCTCCTGGATCTAGCCGAGAAAGAGTTGCACAGCTGAGTGTGAGGCGGCGGGATGTCCAGAATGGATGTGGGTTGTGCAGTGCAGCCAGGTGGGAGAGCTGGCAGAGGCAGTGTGCTGTCCTCGTCCCTGTGTCCCCATGGGTCAGTCAGATTGGCCTTGCCAGCAAACAGCAAAAAAAGCCAAAACCCCACAGCTTCCTCAATGTCTCTACGACACATTGGACTCACGCCCCATGTCGTTTCCCAGTCCTTTTTTTTGTCTACGTTTCCCCTCTTTAACCTCAGGCCTTGGAACTTTGAACCACTGAAAGTCACACCTTCACAACAGCATTCGCAGATAAAAGAGGATCGGGATTAAGATATTCAAATGATCAATACATTATTGCAAAACATAGATTATTAACAAGTCCCCCAGCCCATCATCCGTTGTAGAGACATGCATCTATGATGGTCGTTCACCGGCGGAGCGGCCGCGTCTTACCGACTCGTCTGATTGCACAGTAAAACCAAAGACCACCGCCATCTTAGCCCGCTCCCGCAGTCCCTAACGATACTAAAGCACGATTTTAATCATCTGTGATCAAACAACTAGAGAATATTCAATTGTGTAAACAAATATGCCAACACAACACGTATTACAGGTTATCTTTGGAATCTGCGAAAAACAAGGGCAGGGAAATGAAAAAGAAAGATGGATAAAAAATAAAAATAAAAACAATGGTCACAATTCCAGAACTCCGAAGTTGCTATAGGCGGCAGTAGCTTTCATGAAACTCACACAATGACGCACAGCAGAGGTCAAACAGGTTCCTTACAAATTCCAAGATTGCTTATTGTAGAGGTGGGGTTGGGAGCGGGGTGGGGGGTAGATTTGCGTTTGGCTGGAGATCAGGTGTCCCCACTCACAGAACACACTCAAGGATTTGTGCTGCTTTCCAGTGAAGGACAAAAACCTGAACTCATTCCACATCGCGGTGAACCTCAGACGCGTCGGCTCGACAGATTGGACAGGTGCGATTGGTCTGCAAGACATGTTACGGATTAATTTCTAGAAAGCCAGTGACGTTTCTACACACCATTACCTGATCTATGCATCTGCTAATAACTGTGCCTGCTTAAATCAACATTTACTAAATATGAGTAGATATTGATTAAAAAAATAAATATTTTCTACCATTCAAAGGTTTGGGGCCAGCAGGGGAAAAAATCATACTTTTATTCAGCAAGGATGCATTAAATTGATCAAAAGTGAGCTTTAAGACTTGCTCAAGGGATCCTGGTTTGAATAAAGACTTGTAGCCAAGTTTGAATAAAGACAAAAGGTTTGAATAAAGACTAATAAAGACCTGGTTTGAATAAAGACAAAAGTAGCCAAGACTTGGCTACTTTTCCTAAGTTTGCCTCCTGAAAACACAATTTTTTTTTTGACTCAATTCTACAATGTAAAGTGGGTGGGAAAAAAAATCCTTAATCTTGTATTTGGGTCAAAAATGGGCACCCATAGAAATGAATGGGAAAACTGTAATTTAGAGCACTCTAAAATAAGCCAAAAGTCACTGCATCTTTTGGTTTTAGCTCTATGAACTTATTGGAATGATATTTTAATGTAGTTCAAAAAAATAAAACATAAAAATAAGCATCATTTACATAGAAACTATGGTACTTTTTGAAGTAAATAAATTCAAAAATACCCTCAAAATAAAAAATAAAAAACACCATAAATGTATAGACAAAACTTTATCGGAGACAGTGATTTAACATTTATAATAAATAAAAATTAGGATCACACCCAAGTCCTCTGTGCCCACATTTGTCCACAATTACAGGATTAAGGGCTATAAAGTGACCATTACTATTTACATCATCTTAGTGTTTTGCTGTTATTATGCATTAAGATGATCTTCTTACCTTTAACCACTTGTCTACACATTTCGCATGAAATTCGTGGTTGCAGGGTAATACTCGAAGTAGCTGCCTTGACTCAAAATCACTAAAGCATACAACACACCTATAAGAAAAGTCAAAAGGAACATCAATACAAGGTCACAATCAAAACTTCCAAGATTATATAACAGAAAACACTTACAGAGTTTGCTCAGATTGGTGGTTTTCTAAATTGAACCTGTAGGACGGAAGTTGCTCTATATCAGCTTTCGTTAGTCCTCGAGGTTTTGCTTCTCCGAGTCTCTCGGCAAGGTTTAATAACGCCTGAGAGAAAAATCACAAGTGTTCAAAACTCTCCACACAAACTGTGATAAGTTATCAATGTTTTCCAAAATTAGCTTTAATTCTATAACGTAACTCACTAATTCTATAAAGTTAACCTTTTCTCAACTACAGAGTCCCTCTTATTGAAAATGATCGCATGTATAAACTTTTAGAAGTCAGTAGACAGTTCAAACCATCAGTGGCTGATTTTTGGACAAGCCAGGTTATACAAAACAGTGGGGCAACTACATCACCCAGCATGTGAGAATTCTCATTCACCTCATAGTTTTCCATCTCCACATCATCTACATCCAAGTCCAGACTGATAGCAGGACCCACAGCAGTTGGAGGCACAGGTAGCATCGAGCTGTTTCATAGGTCACAAACACATTAGCATCACAAATCATGGGAACCAAAAAAAAAAAATAGCAAAAAAATATCACAAAGGCATAACGCATTACAAGAAACATGCATTAAAGGTGTAGTTCACTTTTAAAAACCTTTTGCTGATAATTTACTCACCCCCATGTCATCCAAGATGTCCATCTCTTACTTTCTTCAGTCAAAAAGAAATTAAGGATTTTGATGAAAACAATTCAGGATTTTCTCCATATAATGGACTTCAATGGGAACCAAACGGTTCAAGGTCCAAATGAGTTTCAGTGCAGCTTCAAAGTGCTTTAAACGACACCAGACGATGAATAAGGGTCTTATCTAGCGAAACGATTGCTCATTTCAAAAATAAATAAAAAAGTTTACGTTTTATAAGCTCAAATGGTCGCCTTGCTGTGTTCTGTGATGAGCGTTCGTGACTCCTGTTTGAACTCGTTCATCAAAATGATCAAATCTTTTTTTGAGTCATGACTCGAAGGGTCCTAGATAAGACCCTTATTCATCGTCTGGTGTCATTTAAAGCCCTTTGAAGCTGCACTGAAACTCTCATTTGGACCTTGAACCATTTGGTTCCCAATGAAGTCCATTATATGGAGAAAATCCTGGAAAGTTTTCATCAAAAACCTTAATTTCTTATCAACTGAAGAAAGAAAGACGAGGAGATCTCGGATGACATGGGGGTGAGTAAATTATCAGCAAAAGTTTTTTTAAAAGTGAACTACTCCTTTAAGTAATCAGATTACTTTTTTGATATAACATGTAAGTAAGTCGTTCCTTAATAAATGTACATTAACATTCAAGTTACGTTTTAAAAAAGAAAGAAATGAAAATTACTGTGCAGTTTAATGAAATTTTAACTTGCTCAAACAACCAGTCGGAGCCATAGTGTTGCTGGCAGCGACACGAATTCGACTCCCGGCTAGAGACATCTCTTGTGTGCGAGGGAACAGACTAAATGAAGGCCTTACTTTTACAAATAACTTTCCCAAACACTGATTATAAGCGTACAATGTCCATTATTAGAATATGAAACAATTAATACGGCAAAATGTGTTTGATTTGTATTATAAACAACAGAAGACACTCACAGGAAGTATGGTAAGAAGCCGGGGTAGTAGGGCGGTGGAGGAGGCGGCGGAGGCAGAGGCTGCTGTAATCGGTACCTCTGTCCAGTTATACGCCTCGGCAGCATGTGCGGATATGGCTGAGGAAATAGACATATGAGAAAAACCATTTAAATGAGTATTTTTCATTTACCAACCAACTTTATCCAAAGCTACTATATCATATGATGTAAATACTCATTTTTGCCCCGATACTCTAACTGCTTTCTATAGGCTCAATCACAGTGAGTTGTTTCCCTGCTTCATGTTCATCACCAATCGACTATATGAAATGTCAGAAGACTAGTTGTTGTTGTTTTTTCCATGACTAATTCATTAAATTAATGCATTAAACCCACGGCCCTTAATTTTGCATAATGTCATTACTTGTTTATGCAAATGCTCCTCATTTAAATTAAGACTTGTTTACTGCGATTTATGCTTTGTTGACATACAGAAGCAAAGACATCTCACCACTCCGTAGGGTAGCTCTTGATGGAGGGGCTCCTGGGGGAGGTACTGAAGGGGGACGGAGGGGGTCATTGCTGGTGGATGGTGGGCTGGAGGATAAGAGAATGTTCCTAACGGATGCTGGTCTCCTCGCAGATCCACTTCATTCTCCACCCTCTGCAGAGGCTGAATACACACATGTAAAAGACATTGCACAACCAGAAAGAAAGAAAAAAACATAAAGATTATGACAATTAATACTATAAAACGATGCTATTTTACAAAGGATATCATTTATTTATCCATTATGGGGGCTTATCTGTTACCAATGATTGTGGAGTTTGCTTTACAAATTGCACTGTAACAGTAATCCCATTACACACTTGATTACTGTAATGCATTACACTCAACATTGGGAACAGCATTGTAACCTTCAAACATGGCTCATCCAATCACATTTACAGTTTTATGCTTTTAACTGTAACTGTAACTCTCAGATGTAACAATGTAAATATGTAGGCAGATTAAAAATAAGCTCCTTAAAAGTAATCATGTATTTATCAAGAAGGAAACTCATCAAATTATATTAATCGCATTTTTTAATAAAAAATAGCACTAATACTACTCCATAAATATGCAACAAAACATTTAGTGTTGAATTACCTGCAAATATAACTGCATTACTACATTTACAGATACAGTGATATAGAAGTACTCACACCATGAAGATGTTGGTCATTTTGTCAATGTAACTTTTTTGAAATGCACAAAATTTCAGTTCTTTCAGTCCTTTTTGAGCTTGAACCGACAAATGAAAGCAAAATTAAGTCAAAATGTCTCTCTTGGATATTATCCTCGTAAACACAATCGGTTATGTTGTAAACGATTGAGAAAGGAAACGAATGTATCATTATATTGGATTTTTGCATTATCTTAAAGTGACAGCAGCCTAATATGCCCGCAGATGTTTGTGTCACCAATGTAAAACAAACAAAAGAGAAAATCACTTATTTTCTTTTTTTTTTTTTTTGAAAAGTCAAACTTCTTATAAAAAAGATACATTGTATTTATTAATTAATTTAATTTACACAGCGAAGACTACGCAGTGTTATTTTACATTTGATTATTCAATTTCTGTCCCTGAATACTGTTAGGTTTAGGTCTACAAAACACTGAAAAACAAAGCACTGCTCATTTCATTTGTATCTTTGTTATAATTATCTGTACTTGTAATTTATTTATTGTTTTCTATGCAGATGCACTACCCCATAAAATCACCCCAATCATCCTAGAATTATTAATTCTTTACAATACAGCTATTCAAATCTGGTGAAATTGTTTTTATATTGCAGAAAAACTAAATATTACACTTATTTTCAAATATCGTGCAGCCCTAACTTGTCCTGCAGGTGTTATCTGCTATCATTACATCTATCACATACTATATTACTATTACACATAGCTTTATATCAGCCAACGGCCACCATGCTGTCCCAGATAACAGCAATCAAAAAATACCATCCTTAATAATAATAATAATAATATGTCAAAATCATAATGCTATTTTAAGAATATTATATATAACACAAGGGCATTAAAAAGGACATTAATAATAGTTCTCTTCCATTTAGATGTGATCTCCACTCACCATGCGCGGGTGCTGGGGTTGTATGGGAACAAACTGGTTGAGTGGAGGCAGATGAGGCGGCTGGTGAGGCGGCACTGGCGGACTAGGGTGAAGGATAAAATGCTCACTGGAGATCATTGGTGGAAATGCCTGATAGGACACTGGAAGGTGCTGCATGGTGCAGGCCTGAATGAGCTGCAGACAGACAGACAGACAGACAGAGAGAAACACCAGACAACAAAAGAGTCACTCACACCATAGATACACTCGTGAAGAAAGTGAGGATGGGCAATTGAATACTGCATGCTAACATACTCTGGACTAAAGCATATCTAACACTTTCCCTACTCTGTACTATTTAGAAATCTTCAAAACCATTTCAAAAGCATTAGGGTTAATGACGGGGAAAAGCTTAGTTTATATAATTTCATTAAGCATACATAACGTAAAGAGGACTGAAAAACATCACTATTGCCACATAAAAAGTAGTACAGAGGTGGGTATGTTGACACAAATGCAATGGTGAAATTAGCAGAAAGTACACCTTTTGTAAAGATCAAATACCCCAAAGACATTTGCAGTGACAATGCAAACACAAACTAAGGGGGTTTCACATTGTCCCTTGAAAGTTGCATCATAAAATGTAATGTAATGCAATGTAGCTTTATACCAATGTCTAATGTGGAAGCATGAGTGGGACGTACAGAACAAAACTCGTAATCGAATATCTTTGGCTAGCCGGACAGGTGGGCATAATGGCTGCCTGGGACACACATACATCGGCTAAAGTAAAGCTGGAGCGATGGGACATGTTAGGTGTGCTCTACACAGACTTCACTGACATTCCAGCTCTTCCTTTTCAAACTCACTGGAGGAGGAAGGCAGCAGAGCAGAGAGAGCTGTCCGCTGAACATTACCGAGCATGCTGGGAGCTGCTGAGCATTGCAGGCTGGGATAGGTTGCCCGGTGTGGATGGGAAAACCGTGGGTCGTCACCGTGGTAACTGTGTAAGATATCGGAACTGATCCTTGATGCATCTTGAAGGACGACACAAAAAGTTCAGGTTACTTGTTAAAAAACAGCCACTATCTCTGATTTTCATCATCACAGCAATCATCTGATGTCAGCAATATCACTGCAATCTGATCACACTTTCACAGACAAGGCTTGGATTAAGCCAGGATTAGACCTTAGTAGTTCAATTAGGATTGTAGATAGGTGATTTTATAAACGTGCCTTTAACATTACTGGTGTGAATCTTGAAACAAAACTTTTGTCACAATCATGTTTTTTAGACGAGTCAGTGCAAGTTAAAACAACTCAAGCATGCATTTTAGTCTAGACTTAAGCCTTGTCAGTGAAACCGAGGGATAATGTCTATATTAAAGGGATAGTTCACTTTGAAATTAATTTTTGGTATGTTTTAGCTTACTCCAAGGGCATCCAAGATGTAGGTGTCTTTGTTTCCACAGTATTTTCGATTTTGATATTTTTAGGTCAAACCGTTGTTGTCTCTGTCTCTGTCAGTCATATAATGCAGCTCTATGGTCACCACCTCAAAGAGCATGTACAGAGAAGTCAAAATTAAATGAAAGTACACATTGATTGCCTAAGACACGAAACAAGTGGTTTGTGTGAGAAAACGAACAGTATTTATATCATTTTTAAAAGGTAAAAATGATATACTGTTCGTTTTCTCACACAAACCGCTCGTTTTATGTCTTAGGCCATCAATGTGTACTTACATTTTCGAGTCATTAAATCATGTTTAATCTGGACTTTTGTGCATGCTCTTTTAGGTGGACCCCATATACCTGCATTATATGACTGACAGACAAGAACGGTTTGACCTAAAAATATCAAAATTGAAACTACTGTGGAAACGAAGACACCTGCATCTTGGATGCCCTTGAGGTAAGCTAAAACATATTAAAAATTAATTTCAAAGTGAACTATCCCTTTAAATGTATTTTTTTTTTCATTGAAACATTCATTCAAGCGATTTGTTCAAAAACACTGATTCCACCAGTAAAGACTTTATATTTGAGTCGTATATGTATATATATATATATATATTATCAATTAACATTTTAACAGAAACTCTAGTAAAGTATGTGTTATTTTGTTTAGTTGTCTATTCAGTATCATGAGGGCATTGTGAAAAACAAGAGGGTTTTTTATTCTAACGGAGAACAACACCTGGATAGCGGCTTCCAAAAATGTGAGTGTGGGACCCAACTGTCGTTTGAACTGATACCTGTTCGTGAAGATCCACCATGATGGAGTTCTGCTGGGGGGGCTGTGTGGCAGTATGCAGCATGCGTGGAGGTGCACTGGTGTGGCTATATTGCCTGGACTCATCTAAAGGAATCTGCTGATGCTGGGAGAAGACAGGGTGGAGGAAGTTCTCATCCTGATGTAGGGAAGTGTGCACAGCAGGTCTATCTCGCTGCCCCCACTGACGTCGTACTGGAGGACTAGGACATGAACGCCCACATAACGTAAGTAGTAGTCACTGTGAAGATGTTTTTTTTTTTATAAAATGCTAATTTCATCCAACTCTATGCCACTGCCTGACCCACCTTCTCCTGAGGTGCAGAGGGGTGATGCAAGGCTCCCCGACGACCCTCCTCTGGTTTAAGGGGGCTGTTGATGGCCGCCTACTCACTGCTACTTCCCATGGTCGCATTTGTGACGTTGTACGAACGAGTCACACCTGCCTGGGGTGGGGAACCAGTAGTGCAAGAGGCACTTGTGTCTAACAGCTTCAGATTGTCGGAACTCTGTTTGAAACACAAGAAATATTGGTTTTGTGAATTGAATAAAGCGTGCATTATAAGTGAAGTTAATTAAAGAGGACATATTATGGTCAGGAAAGTTATGAAGCAGCACTCCAACCTCGATATCCCTCATTTAAATAATTCCCACCCAAGGTATAAGCAAATAAGGGGAAAGGCCTCATTGAGTTGCTTTAGTAGCATTTCAAAACTCATAATGGTGGTGTGACATTTCTAAAATATGCTCAAAGCGGTTGACCAATCACAACACACTGGTCCAGCCAACTGACAAGAGCACATATCGTGCTTTTCGGAAGAAGGGGCTTCATAAAAACAGATGTGTCTTAAAATGACAGCAGCCTAATAAACCTGCTGACATTAATATTAATAAAACAACAAAAGACAAAGAGAATATCACTCACTCCTCCTGACTGAGTCACTTTTGTAACTTTAATAAGAATACATGTTGGATGTATTTAACTCACAGTTAAGACTACGCACTGTATTGAATTAATTTATACAATTTATGTAGCATTCCTTATTTAGTGCCTGCCTTGTAGTTTTGTCCTTATGCTTGTAAATAGTTTCTTTGCTCTTATTTTTTTTACTGTTTCCTTCAGTAAGCTTGAGAGGGTTGTTTTTTCCCCCTCAGGCTAGTATTAGTTTTTTTTTTTTTGTGAACCAATTGCACTATAAATTACAAATTCATTTTTTTCTAGGTTATTTTGCTTAATTTTCAGATTCAATCATAGGCTCCTTCTTGTACTACAGCACATGCACGCGCTTCAAAAACTGCTTTAAATCTGTTGACAAACTAAAAGATGCAAATGAAATTTGCATACATTCAAAATGAAAGATATAAATTGTCCTGAACGTCAGCTTGCTTATTTTGTTCAAGATAAGGATTGAGTCATGCAAACAAGAAACGATGCTTCTAAAAGCTGCCGTTCCAACCACACAACTTTGCAATGCTATTTGCGAATGTTCGTTACTTGGAACTATGGTTTCGGGAAACACAGACTTGTTGAAATATGCTGAAAACGACGGAACTTTTGACCATAGTTGGCTAACAATGCTTTTGGGAAGCTGAAGCTCACCCTAGCGTTACTGACAGACTGAGAAGAGAGGTGCTGTAATAACACGTCTTTCAAAACACAAGGCAAATTAGTCTTGTGATACACTTATTGTTTAGCATGCAGGAAACCTAGTTTAAGTCCCATTTGCATGATGTTGCATTTATATTTTGTTTACAGGTCCTTTTGTTGTAGTCTGAATCACAAGCAACCGAATGACATGACAACAAATATTTTAGCCTAACAACTACTCTGGGGTTAATTCCTTTAAAAAATTACCCTGGACTTGGTGAAAATGTGAAGACCAGAATATAGCCTTATATAATATAATATATAGTGTTCTCAAAGCAAAACAGCAAGAATAGTTTTAATAAACGAATAGCTCATTTTCCATTAGAAACCAATAACAGTGTAATACTAATTGAATTAAAATATGCTTAGATTTGCCTTAAAAAGTTGTATTGTTTTATAGATTGTGACATTATTTCATTATGTGTAATCTTTGAAGTAAACCAAGACTGTGGGAGCAGAAATGATATAAAACCAGCATTTTCAAGCAAGTAGACATCACACCTCACTGAAAGGCATCAGAATGATTTCTTATATCATTTTTTTCATTATTTATATACATTTCAAATCATTTGTATTACTTTCCTCTTAACAAAATCAGTGAAGTGTGCATGATTCACACAAGCAAAACTTCTCATCGCAGTGACATTTAAACGTTCAGTGCCATGTGTAAAATAAGAAAACAAATAACAGCAAATCTTTACAAACAGTGTTTAATGGAAAGACGGGGCTGATTTGCCACAAAGAGGGGGAGCTGTAACTTCAACAACAAAAGCGTGGATGGCCATGTGCTCCCACACAGACAAAGCAATAACAAAGGAGCGCCACCAAACCTCGCGTGCCTTTTTTTAACAAAAATAATCATTTGAATGAACTTGGTGGATATTATTAAAACACGGTACGTGTTTCACATAAGGACAGTACACATTTCCTATAAATAAAACAAATTAAATTGTCACCTGGGCCCAGCAGTAGATGAACAATAGCACAAAGAGTCGTAAGGCCGAAGTTATACACGCGCGCGCGGAGCTCGTGCAAACATCCGCAGTTGCCCTCGTGCTTTTAAAACATGTTCTCAAGATTACACGGAGTTTGTGCATTACATTGAATTGAATTAAATCAATCTCATGCACCCCCAAGCTCTAAATGCTATCGCTAGCATATAGCCCGAGCAGATGAAGCCCTAAACAGGAAATGGAGGGATGCACCCCTGACAAAAGAAACATGGTTTGGCTTGAAAGCCACATTTAGACAGTCTGCAATGTTTGAATATCAAGAGTGTTTTCGGTTTTATTTTAGCTTATACGTGACAGCTCTGTGTCCAATAATCAAAGTATGATCACACCAACCGAGCTTACTTGTTTTCAATGGCGCGCGAGTTTCCGACTCGTCCACGCGCTGCTTGTTGGCGACTAAAACGATGCAGTTTGTCTTGTTTGGTGAATTTGCAGACTAATCCAGAACAAATCGCCCAGGTACACTAGCAAACAGTCATGGTTAAAATGAGGTATCGTCCCGTTTCCTAGTTCACGTCAACGAGCTCGATCTTGTTGTTGAACAGACGTTGAGCTTCAGCACAGAAAGAGAAAATACATATTCTTCCGCAGCCTACCATCCGTTAACTATATCCAACAAACTTGTAATAGCGTACAGTTGTTGTTTCCTTTATTATTACATCCGTCGCATGCAAACTGGGTATTATCTGTGACATGGGTGCTGTTCAGTATTGTTGTGGTGGTTGAGTGCTGCTACTGTGCTTGTATGTAGTCACGCCTTCTTCCTCTAAAAACCACCACGCAACAGACAGTCAGCCAGTCACTTTTTAGATGCTTTGCTCCAGCCTGATACCAACCTTAAGGGTGTTTTCACACTTCCTCTTTGACAAAAACAAACTCAACCCCCTTTAAGTGGTCCTAAAAAAAGTTCATTGAATTAAAAAGGGACGCAGTTGTATTCACACTGCCTGTAGACACTAGTTTTTTGGTCCAGTTTAGCTGCAGTACATTGTTTCAAATTGTGTTTTTCAAGAGAACAAGCTAACTTCAATACTGTATTTTAATATTTAGAATGATAGATTAATATTGTAGTATAACCTATATAGCTGGCGTAATTTATTAACTTAACAAAAGAGAATTTTTTTTTTTTTGTTCACAATGGTTCACTTTAAAGTTATTTTATAAGTAAATCACTGGACAAATCAAGAAGCAAACTATAAGCACCTCTTTTTTTTTTTTTTTTTTGCAATCCGACAGATGGAGTCAGTTGATTTGTGTTGTGCAAAAGTCAAAACATTAACCATAAGCATGGCAGTGGATGTTATCGGTAATGCCACTGACATTAATTTTGAGGTTGCATGGGTAGTCCCAGATAAAGGGGATGCTGTTTGTCACAAGGGATTTGTTGCAGTGATCAAACAACAGTGATGCAATGCACAGTTGTGTTGTATATTACAATTCAGTGAGACAGTATCTAATTAAAACAGTACAATGCACTAGGCTACATATAAAGAAGTTCAAATAACATGTCATGGGAATAAAAAAGGATGCTTCAAAATAATGTCAAATAAACATCACAAAACAAACTATTATTGTAAGTGGAAGCCCTTTTCTCCACTCGTTGAACCATCTCATGGTTCTCTAAAATGTGTTCTTGAATTTAAACTGACCGTCTATATAGGATGATGCTTAATTACAAAATCAAGAAAAAAATTAAATGGGATTCATATAGAAATGTTTGCAATATATCACTAAACCACTGCAACATAATAAATGCAATATTAGGCCTGTATTTTCATTATCATTTATATTAATAATACTTTATAAGGCAAAAATAATAAAGTATTAATTTATCTGGCAAAAAAAAATAGTGTTAAACATTTCTTTTAAAAATGCAGTATAATTTTACAAAATAAATACTGGTTTTATTATTATCACAAAAAAAGAAAAGTAGCCTATAGAAAATCAGAGTAGAATAGAAATTGTTCACATTCAGCAGTTTTCAGGTTTAAGTTGCTTTTTTATTTTATTACGCAAGTTAATTTATGATGAAGATTTAAATTACCATTGCAAAAACTGTTAAGCATTGTTTTAAATTATGGTATAATAATAACACAATGTTTAGTGTTATTATCAGTGTGTGTAATAAATGAAAAGCAGGATGTTGGAGAGTCTAACTGTGTTTGGTTTCTCTTCTCTCTAGCAGTTCTCATCCGTCCCTCCATCAGAGACAGTGTGACACAGCCCAGTCTGTTACATAAGCCTTGCGCCAAATGGCGAGCCGGCGGACAGAATCACATGCAAGCGTCTCAAAGCTGTCAAGAGTAACATCTTGTTTATTCAATGCATTTTAAAGTGCATAAACTGACATCAAAAATATGGATTTCACTTGATCTAAAAAAAAATGCACAATTCAAAGCATTAATGAGACTATAGAAGAACTAGGAAGGCAAAGTGCACCATTTTATAGGCTAATAGGCTACTTGAGTTTTAATTCGTCTAATCGCATGGGTCAGAATCATTTTTGCAGCATTTTCTTTTGTGCGGCTTCACTGCAGAGAAAACGCCGCAATGTAACCTTCCTTCCTAATCTTTAACTCACGAGAAAACAGCCAAAATAATTCCGATTCTAGTGAAACCTGCGCTGCGCGTGCACACAATCACGCACATCAAGCGCGAGACAAGCAAACACGCGTCCAATCCATCCGTGCACTTCCAATCCGATGTAAACATTACAGCATTACAGCAACAAAACAAGGAGGGGCTCAAGGCTTTAGGGGGACAAGATATAAAAACACGCTTATACCTATGTGCGATGCATTCAAGACCGTGAAAACCCACGGAAATCCACGCCATCAACACGAAGACGCAGGCGCGTGCGTTACCTGATTGTTAATTTGTGAGCATCGCAATCGCTGACATTTCTCCTTGTACTTCTTCACATCTCTCCCATATTCGGTGCGGCATGATCCTCAGCTGTTCCTGTTAATGGAACATTCCGTGGATTTCACCACTGATTTGGGAAAAAGGTACAAACTGGAGCTCGCACGAAGAATAAAGGCAGAATGTGGCATTACTCTTCGCATCTCGCGCAAAACAAGCACTCTCGGAATGCATCAGACTTTGGAGAACCCAATGCACTCGGTTAAACCCAGTATCATCCGCCGCCTATTTGCGTGCTTTTGTGACATACCCCTATGTGGGGCATTTAGAGGCCGCTTGCTTATGGCAAGCAGTTTGAGCATTATTCCTCATAAATTGTAAGATTAGTCATTAGCCACAACTTAGGTTTTTACATTACATTTACTCATCAAACAAGAGTTAACTCGATTTATAAGTCAGTTTAACATTTTTAAAGTTGGTTACAACCAAATTGATTACTTAAAAATTCAAGGCATAAACTGAACTGAACTGATTTTTTTTTACAGTGAAATATAGTGATAGGCCTACTTCTATTAGTAAATAATTGTCCAACTATAGAATCGTTTTAAGTGTCGTTAACTATTCATTAGTAGCCTACTACATTCTAGTATTTCAAGTATGGACAAATACTGAATTAGTCACTACTTATTCATTAACTTCATTTGTTAGCAGTCACTTTCATATTCAAACAAGTAAATTCCACATAATGAATTATTGTTATTCTAAGTAGATACTAATATAATTATGTACTAGAATTTAACAAATAAATACTATAGTACAAGTGGATTAGATACTATTAGGATTCTTAATATTACTTTGAAAAAAGCAGTATAGTCTTCATACATGTGTTGAATCTCTTGGAAATTTTATGATTGTATGTGTGAATTATACTTTCAATACTGAATGAACAATCAATGCAAGTGGATGTTTATATATGAAATTCAATCAAACCATGGATTGAAAATGTAAGAAACTAAATAGATACGCTAAGGAATACATGTTCAAATGGCTTGCCACAGTTGTCTTGCTCTACCGTAAACACTGTACAAGTTTGTCCTCATGAACTCCCAATGTCAAGTCTCGGTTAACAAGATTGCAGGGCTACAGTTAGGTCATTGCATAGACTGTGCCATTATCCTATATTCTCCACATTGAATAAAAATGAATAAAAGCTCAAATCCTTGTCGAGCATCCTCTAAATAGACAGCTGCCTGAATGTATATATACATTGTTTTACTTTATAACGATGATGATCTGTGGTTATTGCCTGTGGTATATTTTTTATTAAAGCTGTTCGCATCATGAGGGAGGTATATGTCATCATCAATTTGATTCCTTGCATCCATTATGGAAAAACTAATCAGGGTCACATTACGTAATTGCCAGTCTATGATTAGAATGTGCTTTGTTTTGTCTCCCTCTACCAGCCAGACGAGGAACAGCAGACACTACCTGAGATGATTACACCATTATGTGATTCTTTCATTGTTTCTTCATAAAACAAGATGTTACAAAGTTGTTTGGAGTGTGTTTACAAAGTCTATATTATATTATAGTGAGGGTCTATCTATAAATCATTCGCCATCGTATAAGCTATTGACTACTGAAGTCAAATTTTTGTCTGTTTATTTATTTTGCATTCTTAAACATTAAGGTCTAATAATAGGGTGTTAGTCCATACTTTTCATAACCGTTGCTTAGTGAGATGGCTGCCTTGTTGTCAGCAATAAATGAGCAAAACACTTTATTGTCACGGAAAGCTATTCGATCTATAAATGATTAACTAAACTGTGTTCATGTGTATGACAAACAAAGCAACTTATCGCACATACTTATATTGTTATTACAGTGAAAATGATTGCATGATGCCTGTAAACACTACTTCTTTTTCCAGCATAATTACACAATTTGCATATCATTAAAGACTTGTGCCTTAGGATGGGATGATCACTGGGCCTCACCTATTTCACGTCAGTTTATGTGAAGTCGTAAACCAAAGTCTAAAATGATAAGATTATGGCATATTAATGTAATGCATCATGTGGCATGAACAGGTCACATTTTACAAAATTTATGAGAGATTTGTGTATTTGTGTGTACTATTCTAGCATACCCACATAATTTTAAGTCAGAAATGAATAGATGATACCTGAACGATAGACTTAAATGGCAAACATTTGCAATTGGTTAAATAGCAGTACTGGGATAGTGATTTGCTTGTTTGTTTACAGATTTATTCCTCCATGACATTCATTTTTATCACCTTTATATATCTAATATCAACGCATTACAAAGTCACAGGCCACACAAATTTGCCACTGATAAACTGTGAAAAAGAAAAAATCGCTAGAACAAAAATAAATAACCTGTTAAACATGAAAGTATTTTGCAGTAATTTAAGACATGTCTCCATGTACCTTTTTGGTTCTTTGAAATTGAGTCAAGAACCAAAATAAAATAAAATAAAAAAACAACTGAACCTGTTTTATGCTCTTTGTGTGTGTGTAGCCTATCCAGGTAAACCTTATGTTATGAGAACAAAATATCCCCACAAAAAGGCAAATATCCAAAATCCTTGGACATGTTGTTTGGTCCCTAAAAAATGCTCGGTAGTTTTAACCCAATTTTGGGTAAAATATGGACAAACCCAAACTTTGGGTTAAAAATGTAATTTAAAATGCTAACCCAACTAACCCAGTTTGTCAATATTTGATCCAAATTTGGGTTGAAATAACCCAGCATTTTTTATAGTATATGAGGAATACAGCCAATAAATCAGACTAAATGATGTTGTTGTTGTTGTTGTTTTTTTTTATTGTAAAGGTGCAGAAAGTTTTCCGTGATGGGAA